AAAGAGGGTTTTATTTTCTGACGCTGCGTGAGTTCCCCGACACACCGGGGACACATCTTTATGTATAAAAGACATCAAAAAGTGCATTTTGCAAGATAGGTCCCCTTTAAGTGGCTCATATTATCCTAAGAGCTAGATACAAGATTAATTCTTTTTTATTAAACCACCAATGTGTTCCCTGAGCTCTGATTTATTAGTTAACAATATAAATACCTGACATCCATCTGTTGGAATATATTTGTTAGTTTTGAACCGCAGCGCCTCTGCACTCCACACCTGCTCCACTTCACTTCTCTCCTCCTGCCTTTCTGCAGCCAAACGTTTTTTTTATCCTTGCGCCCATAAGCACATGAATTTATATTGAGTGCTGACATAATTTAAAAAAATTATGTCAGCACTCAATATAAATTCATGTGCTTATGGGCGCAAGGATAAAAAAAACGTTTGGCTGCAGAAAGGCAGGAGGAGAGAAGTGAAGTGGAGNCTGTTGAGCGCCTGAGAGGCTCCGGCTGTTTCCCGTACTTTATCGGAGTAAATTTATGGAAGAAAAAAAGTCTTCCCTATATCTGCCCCACAGTAGTGAGAGCTCTTTTGGCATCCAATCAAATATCATAATAACAGATCTTACTATGTGTGCGGCAAGTCTATAGAAACCAAGTTTTCTAAAGGTCACTATCATGCTATTTTTAGGCAATAGCATAGGTCTCAGATATATACAAATATATAACAAAACATGTCTTATGACGTGTTTTGCTCAAATACCAACAGATTCACCCATTCCAGCATGCCTCATACCCTCCATTTCACTTCCTGTTTTCAAAGTGGCTGATTTGGGGTATAAAGCTTTAAAAAAAAAAAAAGGAGGGGGCTGAGCTCATGCGGGACCCGGCAGCTACTGTCTAAACTAAATACTGCCGTGATGAAACGCCATATCATGGATTATCAAGGATTATCTCTGAAACAGTATGGAGCTCAAAGGCTTTCTCTCTTGCCGGTTATACCACAAGGTGAGTTCCTTTTTATTTCCTGCTTCTTCACACACATGCTCTCCAGTACAGGTTAGCTCTGAGTGTTAGCGATGCTAATGTAAACACCGACCATATTACGTCCAAAACAGTCGGGCATTGTTTCTGATAGCAACGTTTCTAATTGGCCCGTGGGTCCACATTTCAGATATTACGTCATATCGGAGGCAAATCTGGATCAGCTCCGTTGTAGCCTCGTTTTTAGAGATTTGGATACGGAGGAAAAGAGAGAGGGTTTTATTTTCTGACGCTGCGTGAGTTCCCCGACATACCGGGGACACATATTTATGTACAAAAGACATCAAAAAGTGCATTTTGCATGATAGGTCTCCTTTAACTCTCAGCAGATGTTTGAGAGAGAGGGGGGGAAATAATAGTCTTGGGTTAAAGCATAGATTTGATTTGAAAAATAAATAAAAGGTGAAGAAAAATAATCTGTGATAGTGTGTGAGCAGACCGGAGGGAGAGGGCAGATAAGAGCGAAAGTGGGTCAGTAAGCTCAGCACCAGATGAGAGCCCTCTGACACACAAAACACAGATAAACCCTCTACATTGAAATATAAGCTGTTTAACAAAAACCTTCCAGTCCAGAGAAACCTTCAGTTAGTGAGCAAGGTGTTTGATGGTTTAACCAAAGACACTTTAGCATCATAGCAGGTCAAAGATCTGCCTACAGTTGCTCTTCTTCATGCTTTCAAATGTCATTTTCTGTTTTCTTGCACTACACAACCCTAACCCTTTTTTTAAAAATCTTATTGTTCTTAATAATATATTGACTTTATTCAATTTTTACGGTCTAAATGATATGTATCAGTTTTCATGATGCTTGAAAGTACTTGTGTGTGCGAGTGTGTTAGGCCTTATGTTCTGTAGCTGTGCAGTGGAGACAACATGTCACCCTGCAGTTATTTGTTATCTGTGTCAATACTCAGGTTGGCTGATGTGCTGCTAAGTATTGAAAAACATTATGTCAGCACTCAATATAAATTCATGTGCTTATGGGCGCAAGGATCAAAAAAACGTTGGGCTGCAGAAAGGCAGGAGAAGAGAAATAAAACCCTCTCTCTTTTCCTCTGTACCCAAATCTCTAAAAACGGGGCTACAACGGAGCTGATCCAGATTTGCGTCCGATATGACGTAATATCTGAAACGTGGACCCACGGCCCAATCAGAAAGTGCTTCAGAACATATGCCCGACTGTTTGGAACGTATTATGAAATTTTAAAGTTGTCTCCTCCGCAACTTTAATGCTCTGTTTCTTTTCTCCCCGCCCTGCAGCCACGCTGCGGCCTCGCATCAAAAACCCTACAGAGGGAGTGGTGTGTGCCTGTTCCGGGAGATCATAGAGATCTACTATTGCTCGCTAGGGTCACGACTCTTATGATCTAAACGTATGCTGCAGGAGTGCTACCACTAGGCCACTCACTTCACCTTTATGTGTTCTATTCATGGGTTCTTTACGGTCATTAAAAACTGGAAAAGTCATTGAACATGTCAAAATGCTAATTCCGGGCCCTGAAAGTTATGGAAGACAATATTTTTCCAAACAGTTTTGGAAAGGTAATGGCAATTTACTAAAGCTTGCATCAAATATAATTGACTATTTTATCTAATCGCCTAAATAGTAATACTATAATGATAATAAATACGTTATAATATCTGTGTGTGTAGGGAATCATAGAAAGGACCTCGCTTGTGGCTTAACCGCAATTGACGAGAGCCTTGAGCGTCATACTTGTTTCAGAAGGATCGGTATTGTAGTATGAAAATCGGCATTTAACTGTCCAGATTGGAGNTATTATATTTGTAATGTGTTTCCTCTTTCAGTTGAGACAGTGTAGATGAAGGATGTGTCAGGATGTAGAACTCTTGTGTGAACATTGGATAAAGCCAGGTTCATATTCTTGTTTCATGTTGTTGACATATTAGAGTCAAAGGTTTGCACAGAGCGAAATATCTTTGTGATGCGCCATAAATCAGAAAATACTGCATTAAAAAAGTCATTTCCTGCATTTTTCTACTGATAAAGTGTGATATAAATAATGTACAGGCTTTCAGATTGCTGTAGTTCACTAAACAGAGACATTAACGACATGTGTTGAAAATGTCAGAAAAAGTGAAAGAATGGGAGATAAATATCCCCTAATCTCAAAATGGTATTATATTGTGTGTGTGTTTGTGGTCCTCTTTCAGTTGAGACACTGTAGGATGCTTCAGGAAAAGACCAAACACTGGATGTCTTTCAGTCGCCAACATGTGTTTTCGAGACACTGATACTAACGGGGAAATCCTGCAGGACTCAAATGCCTCGTCTTAGTTCCTCATACTCATTTGGGAGCGATTACCCATCAGCCCCGGGGGTAACACAGAGGAAAGTCAGCGTTACCCCCGGTCTGCACGTTGTTTCTCTTTCAGAAACACAGAGGACTGTTTGTAACAAACAGTCCTCTGTGTTTCTGAAAGAGAAACAACGTGCAGACCGGGGGTAACGCTGACTTTCCTCTGTGTTACCCCCGGGGCTGATGGGTAATCGCTNTGAAACCCCACCAGGTCAAAAGGCCCTGCTTGTGGGAAATCCTGACCTCTGCTCTCATAAGGCAAAATCAATTATCATCCAATTTATCTCCATCAAAACTAGTGGAGAGACACTTGGGTGTGCAGAAGTGTTTTTCCTCCAATAACACTCTGATTCTAATGTGGACAACACTACGAGAGTTTAGGAGTAAACCACATCACAGCACTGAACCAGAAAGCAATAGCGAATCTTTTTGGAATAACTTCACATTTCTACCAAGAGATAAACAAGAAAGGCTAATATGTGGTACAATGGCCTTGTTCATCTCAACAGTCCGGCAGTGGCTCAGTCAGTAGGGGCTTGGACTGTGAGCCGTAGGGTCGCCGGATCAAGTCTCCGAACAGACCTAAATATGGAGTGTGGACTGCTACTTGGAGAGGCCCCAATTATCCTGCCCTGCTGTTGTTCCCCTTGAGCAAGGCACCAGACACCCCCCTTCCCCCCTCACTCCCATTGCTCCCCGGGCGCTTTACAATAGCTGCCCACTGCTCCTAGTACTAGACTCCTGGTACTAGGATGGGTTAAAAGCAGAGAACACATGTCACTGTGTGTGCTCTGCATGTGTGACCATTAAAGAGGGTTTCATCCCTCCCATTCTATCTATGAGTATCTTTCAAGCACAACATATCACAAAATTGGTTCCAGAAGATGTAGAAAACAGCGAATCACTGGCCACTTTCCTCTCTTTTTCTCCCTCCTCACTCAATCCATCCCTTCCATTTAGCAAATTGCTCCATCAACACCTTTCTCTTCTCCTTCCCTGCATTTGACTATTCACCGTGAGCCCTAGTTTTTATATTATACTGCATCGCATGCGTTTGTCCTTGCCTTGCAGGGCCACAGTCAGTGATTTCTCCTTCTGCTTCTGTTGCCTTGAACAGCAGTGTGATAGCTAACCGACATTTAAGAAAACATTATAAGTTGAATTGTAAAAATGTTGTTGAACAAATAAAAGAGTGACTATATAAATGGATACATAACTACAGCCAGCCCTTGTTGGTGGATGAGTAACCTCGTTTGTGGCCTCAGGAAGTGGCCTTTACAATTGCTAGTATGTATGCAGGCTGATACTACCACAAACTCACCCACAAACACACACCTGACTTAAAACTCACTGTGGTTTAGCATGTATGCCAACGTGATGAAAGTAGGCACATGTGGTTTAAACTGAGGGTTACCTCCACACAGAGAGAACATGTAATGTCATAGTATTACCACAAGGGGGCAGAACCTGCACATGTTATACAAAGAGGATTCACCCAGAAAACAGCTGAGGTTGCGGATGTATATGTGTGTTTTACATAAAGGTTGTCACCATCAGTCATTGTAAATACCTTTAAGGAAGGCATCTAATCATACGGTACCCTTTCCCCCCCTCTGAAGGTTAAAGAAAACACAAAATGGTACTCACATTTTCAATGACGAATGTCCACTCTTTGTCTTCAAACTCCTCTGCATGGGGGTCCTGCAAGGACGATATATAAAGCAATGTTTTAAAACGATAGAATAGAATAGAATGGATGAAACCCTCTGTAATGGTCACACATGCAGAGCACACAGCACACAGTGACATTTGTTTTCTGCTTTTAACCCATCCTAGTACAAGGAGCCTAGTACTAGGAGCAGTGGGCAGCTTTTGTGCAGTGCACGGGGAGCAATGGGAGTGAGGGGGGAAGGGGGGTGTCCGGTACCACAAGGGCTCAAGGGCACCACGGCAGGGCAGGAGGTGAGCTGGGACCTCTCCAAGTAGCAGTCCACTCTCCATATTTAGGTCTGGTCGGGGACTTGAACCGGCGACCCTACGGCTCACAGTCCAAGCCCCTACTGACTGAGCCACTGCCGGACTATATGCCGATACACCGAACATTGAAGTGCAACCACAGTATGGTAATTTGATAGAGAATGAAAAAACACATATATCTAGGCTGTCTTAGGCAACACTCAATTGCTCAATCTTAAAGAAATTCATTGAAATGTTTATATTATCAAAACCTTGCAAGAAAACTTCCAACACAAAAGCTGCAACAACAAAAAATAAATCAGCTTTGAGTGATATCGCGTCTGCTCTGCTCCACTCACCCACTGACCTGGTTTCCCTTCTCATGCACGTGCTAAATGTTTTTGATTTAATGAGGTGTCTTTTCATTCATAAAAAGATGTCGTCTATGTATAAGTACTTGTCTGAAATAAATGTTGTGCAAGTGTGTTTTACCATAGATTTGATTGTAAACTAGATTTCTGCAAATGGGCAAGAAACAGGACAGGAACACCAATACACAAATATTGAAATGAGAAGCCAGAAAAATGGAAAACTATGGATGTTTCTCTCTCCGTCTCTGTTGATATACCGTATTACTGTCTCATGTCCTGCCTGTATATCTGTGCGGTGTTGAGGAGACAGTAATGCAGGCAGCCGAGCACAGACGACCTTCACTGCCCTCCAGGAGCTCATACACGCAACCACAAATCACTGCTCGACACACAAAGACATGCTAATATAATGTAATCAACCCCCTCCTCATGTGCACACTAGCTTATTCACAATGCACAGCTTAACCAGTTTAATAACACCAACAACTAAATCATGTTATATGATTGTTAGTGTGGTCATTTATTAGGTTAAAATACAAAAAAGGACATAGCTGCTAACATATCTGATGCAAATGTTCACAAATGATACACCTTGGGGATAACCATTCAAATCTCTTATGGCTCTCGTAACAATGTTACTATTGCTCAATAACTTTCTGCACCTTCCCTGCTTTATTATTTCACTTAATTTGTTTATGATTTTTGCGACACTGTATGTTGCATTGTTAGTGGAGCCTGGGATTTGAAGTTTTCAGGGCTAAAAAAACGATTCTGTAGCTCTTGTGCAGAAAACAATAAAACCTTTGAATCCTTAAAGCGATGCCATTTATTTTTGTCTTTTACAAAGTGATGAATCAATACTGAGTATAATCGGCTGTTGCAGCCACGTGTTCAAAGAACACGTCCCGACGGACCACGACTGTTGTGTCGCCTCACGTCTCCTGCGTCTTGGCCAACAGTCGCACTGGAACACACCGCAAAGACTTCAGCCGACGGCCAAGTAGCACATACGAGCTGCGCATGCGTGAGTGGAAATAACTCTCCTTACCAGCAGGCAGCGGTAGTGTGTATTTGTCATTCAAAAGAGGCAACAACCGGAAGACAAAGAAGAAGAACAGACTCCGTGATATAAACGAACAACAAATAGCGTGTGCGTTCCATTTTCACTCTCGTCCATCGAAAACATGTCTCGTGCGGTACTGGAGCTATCAGCCATTGGAGTGCTGCTTGCGGAAGACATTCTTCGTGCCTTCTTAAAGCGTTTGTTTACGTCCCTCACTTCCGTTTCGCTTCTCATGCACTGATTCGCTAGCTGAACAGCCAATCAGAGTGATTTATTTGGCCCGACTGCCCGACCCGACGCATGGCCGATTCAACATGTTGAATCGGCCATGCGTCGGCCATGAAAGGCCAAATAAGGCGTGTCACGGCCCGACGGTGCGGGACACACCAAACTGAGTTTGGGCGACAGGGCACGCTTCGTCGTCCGACTAACGAAAACGGCCGATTTCGGCCTGGTGTGTCAGGGCCTTTATCATGCACTGATTCGCTAGCTGAACAGCCAATCTTAGTGATTTCTTTAGCCGTCGGCCTTTTACCGACAGCCTGTTGAATCGTCGGCGGAAGGTGTCGGCACGGCTGAAAATACACGATCGGGCAGGACACACCAATACTATTAGGGCGACAGGACGCTCAATCGACGGCCGAAATCGGCTTGGTGTGTAAGGACCTTTAACACCTACACACGCAAACACTGACAGCCTTTCGGTCTGACTGCGCCTGTGACACGCCCCCGGAAATCAATATTCCTGCAGTCTGGCACATCAGTCAAACACAACACCCACATGGACGCAAACACACACACAGCAACTCATAGAGCTGCTTCATCCTTCCATTGTTTCACTGCCACATAAACTGCTGCTAAAGCCAACCGAGCCTGACGTCTTCTCACTTTACGGTGTCTGCAGAGTTTTAGTGCTGCTGGTAAACACACGCTGCAGACAAGTGACAGTATACAAACGTTCTTCTCTTTTATTTCCTCACAAATTCATTTTGTGAACATAACAAGGTTTGATTAAGCTTCTACAGTTCTGGAAAATGCAGATGTGTAAAATCTAACAAGCCAAATGGATTTCTGAGGTTTGGCTGGTGCAAAGTGCCCGCTCTGCTTTCTGAACTATGTCTCTGTTATGATCGATTCTGTCTGCAGAGCGCTCCCAGTAAAGTTACGTTACATATTCAGTGTTTTCTCGACGTGTAAAAAGTTCCAGCTAAGGCTTGCCTGCTGGTGTTCATCTCCCTGAGGAACAGCTGTAATTCTGCAGAGCTCAGCTGTCTTCACTGCAGCGCTTCAGGCCAGAGAGCGGTATGAGAGCATCTTTAAATCCCTGTTAGCTCCAACATTCCGTCGACTCACTGCAGACTTATCTAAACTGTGGGTTATTACATTTTTACAGATTTAGACCAGCATAAAGCAGTATTATTTAAAATTAAAAGGGGTAATTTATTTAAATTAGAATGGCGCGTACATAAAGCTGGCGGACCTGCGAGACATATGGTCAAAAGCCTTGCATCAGAGTCTGCAATATCATTACTTTTTATTCCCTTACATGGCAAGTAAGTAGTACCAAACCAAGTGAGAAGTTGAACTCTACACCACTTTATATCTAATCAGGGTGGTGTGTATCACCCAACGGTCAGAAAATAACTAGTTTTCACTGGAGCACTATAGTGGAAGTAAACTTTTCTAACAAATACTGCAGGGCATCTGATAAAGCAGAGGGAATGCTGTTTAATGTGTGGCTTTATCAACCAGATGTGGCTCAACTGTGCCTTCAGTGGCTTGGCTTTGGGTCTCATTACAAAAACAGCTTTATTACTTCCTCTGGGACAGGAAGTGGAAGTTAGCTCGGAACAGAGGGACACTGTACAACAGAGCAAGAGAAGCATACTAACTGAACCAGTCCACATACAAATTTGGGTTATACTGTTAACAGACAACACAGTATGCCTTATAAGTTATAAGCAGAGGCAGGTACGTCGGTATGTGAGGCAGGAGGTCTGGTGAAGACACGGAGAGGTAACAGGACACTGGGCTCCAAGCAGCCTGTCAGCACCAAGGCCAGCATGTTTAAGTAAGGCAGGCACAGTGACAGATACTGTCTGTACACTCACAGACATTTACAGACACAACTGTTATACTGTACATATACAGACCTTTTAGTCATAAAATACATTCAAATACTCTCCCAACTCCTTTAACATCAACAGTCCTGGCAGACTCCATTCAAAAATACATTCTTATTTACACTTAAAATTGTTTGTCCTATACTTGTTTATAACAAACGCCCTTTTATATAGTTTTAAAAAATATATATCAAAAGATATATACCTTATGCTGCTTTAGGGGGGCATCCATTTAGGTAAAAGTCAACAATTGCTGATATATCTCCGAATTTAAGACAGGGTGCGAATGGGCTATTCAATGGAATAAAGCACCTGATGTTTCATAAACACCCCGGTCCACCTTAAACCCAGGTTCATACACTTTTTCACCAATGATTTTCAATGACTTCTCCAGGACCTTTACCTAATTTTCCATGACCAAAAAAATTACTCTTTCTCAGCGGTACCACTGAAAATGGTTTATTTGAACATGGAACAGGAAAATAAGGTCTGCATATGAAACATGTTGTGCCTATCTAAAACAAATCAAATAGAAGGCTTACTAGCTTCTACACGCTAAAGCAACTCAAATCTCTCACCAGCAAAATACCTCGACAGTTAAATGCCATTTTCATTACTACACGATACAGTATTTATTATCGTTATAGTATTACTATTTAGGCGATTAGATAACTTTAGTTAAATTTCCATTACTTTGGGAAAAATATTGTTTTCCATAACTTTTCCAGGGCCTGGAATTAGCATTTTGAATTTCCATGACTTTTCCAGGTTTTTAATGACCGTAAGAACCCTGATAAACACATAAATGTGAGTGAGTGCTAGTGTAAAGGCTGTAGCCTACCTTAAAAAGCGTGACCGTGATCTCTATGTTCTCCGGGACAGGCCACACCACCACTCCTCTGTAGGGGTTTTTGATGCCAGGCTGCCAGCTGTGGGCCTGCAGGGCAGGGGGAGAAAAAGAACAGAGCATTAAAGTTGCAGGGGAGAAACTTTATTTTAGTTTTATTCTTTTAGAATGGCACTCATCAAATACAAACCTTGGAGGATTTCCTCCGGCTCCTGCGCGTCCAGACCACCACCAGTTTGTCTGGTTGCCTGTGAGGAAGAAGAGAAGACAGATGAGTGAAAAAGGCAAAAAGGTTTAAATTCATCAATTCCCTTATCTCTGTTTCTCCATCTAGCCAAATATCTACGTGTTAATACCATCAGTTTAATTGATTAGCTTTTATCGTAATGCCGAAGGTTTTAAAACCCTGATAAGCATCCTGCACACACAAACCAACAACAGCGCATACACACACCTGCACAGCCACTCTTACTATGAATAAATCATGAGACACGGCTAAGCCCTGGCTTTGTCTCTGTGGACTGCAGCATACACAACACACACACACACACACACACACACACACACACACACACACACACACACACACACACACACACACACACACACACACACACACACACACACACAAAGATAAGAGGTTAGTATGACAGGAAAAAACTAAAGGAGGCTGAGAGTAACAACAACCCAGTCCAGTCACACAGCACTGACAGCTGACAGGAAATGATTGTATTTCATCAGTTAAACCACAGAGTATTGGTTTGCATAGCAAAAAGCCCAAATGTGTGTTCAGTTCACCGGTTATTGTCCACTATGTTGACTTTTATTAAGCTAGTAACCGACTTTAAATAACTCTTGATGAATTAATCAACCGTAAATAATAAGAGGCATTAGGGCCCAACGTTCTTACAGAGCATTTACTGACTTTCACACAAAGCATTGTAAAGCACATAATTCATATAAACCTGCATGGAGCTGCTTAATAAATTATAACTGACACGCTGCTTTGCTTTAATGTGAAAAAACACTGACAAATTAGGGCTTGCCAAATGTTCCTCCTATAATCACGACTCACTATATATCACATTGTACTGCATACACTTATAGTCAGCCTGAGAAATACTCCATAACAAAGCTAAAGCGGTTAGCTAGCTGGCAAGTCTGGACCTGCTCGTCTGTCACCCACCATGCATGAGTATATGTACACGCTAGAATCATGCAGAACTCAGCCATTGCCCATCTCTAACGGGAAACATGAACACCCTAAATCACAGCATATAGGTCAGACCATGCTTTATCTTTTGGTCTTAGAGGACAAAGTGGAACAGATAGCAGATGCCAATCTACAAGATTGTCCGTCTAAATAGAAGTCCCTGTTATGGCAAGTATCCACCCCAGGCTCGGAGCTCTCCAGCTATCAAGCTGTTACTGAGGCTGACCTCTGACCCAACAATGGAGACAAGAAAAGGAGAAAATTGCCATACAGGGATCAATTAAAATAACTTTGTTTGATTTGTCTAAATGATGACAGCCGTTCAATTGTCCAGGCCAATATTAGCTTATTACAAATACATCGGTATCTGCATGAAAATAGACAATACACAATAAATTGAAAATACAAAAATGCTAAAGATCTGGTTTGAGAACATTATTAAGAAAGTGTCTAGTTTGAGTATCTTGGTCACAATTCTTCAATTACCAAATGTAGTACATTACATTACATTGCATTTAGCTGACGCTTTTATCCAAAGCAACTTACAATAAGTACATTCGACCAGGAAGATACAACCTTTAGGAAAACAGAATCATATAAGTACATCAGGTTTCATAGAGCTAAAACATTTCAAGTGCTACTCAACTGGCTACACAGAATCACACTACACACCTACGCAATGATTACATTCAGGCAGACTGTAGAATACAACCTCTTTGGACAATTTATATACTTATTGAAAACAAGCTACAAAATGTAATACCTTGGAAAATGCCGTTTAATACTTTTTAATAGCCTTCATTTTCGCTAAATTGATTGATCAACTTTTTAAGACCCCACAGACACCCTGTGTTACAATCTAAATGTTCCCCTTGTGGAACAAATAAAGGAATTCTGATACCGATTAAATAAGGTTAACATTCCAACATCATGACAAAAATAGTAAGGGTGAAGTTACCTGATAAGATTATTATGCAGATCCATTGAAATCAACAAGTACTAAGTGAACGTTATCTGAGGCCTGTTTCAATGTTTATGTGCAAATACTTATTACATAGCACAACAATGGGTTTGTGTGTGCATGGGCCCTTATGTCTGAGACTCAGAACAACAGCAAAGCAGTGATTCTATGGGAAGAATGAGTGACTGTGTGACACAGTGGAGAGGAAAAGAGGGAAGAAAAAACAGAAACAGAGAGAGAGAGAGAAGAGGGAAGGGAAGGAAAGGAGGAGTGAGAGGGAAAAGAGAGGAGAGAGGGAGAATGACAGGCAACATATCAGCCTGGAGGAGAGGCCTCCCATAGAGAAGCTATTGTACAACAACACGGCCCATATCAAGACAGCAGACGCATTAAATATCCCCCTCTTGTTTTTTTAGCCTTTGTACAGTACTCGCTGTACTGTGAGAAAAATGTAAAGTATTTTGCTGCAGGCTAGCGGACTTCTTCACACTTCCTCATGTTCAACCTCAGGCCTGCATGCTCTTTCTGTGTTTCGCAGGAATCAATGAGCCACCAGAGAGGAATGCTACAGCAGGAGAAACAAATGGCCACAGAGCGCCCTGAAAAAACATATTTAAAGTGTGCATTCAGAAGCTCTCACGCATACAAGAAGACGTGTTAACATTAAAGAGGGAATGGAGGTTTACTACATGGCAATACATCTGGTAGTAACATTAAGAATTTCATTTGAAAGTTTTAGGATGTTACAAAAATAGGTAATGTAGGTTTATTAAACATATGGCAATACATCAGGTAGTATATTTTCTGCACTGTTGAGCGCCCTGAGAGGCTCCGGCTGTTTCCCGTAATTTTATCGGAGTAAATTTACTGGAAGAAACAAAAGTCTTCCTATATCTGCTCCCACAAGTAAGTGAGAGCTCTTTTGGCATCAATCAAATATCACGAATAACCAGATTACCTATGTGTGACGCAGTCTATAGAAACAAGTTTTCTTTAAAGGTCACCTATCATGCTATTTTTAGGCAATAGCATAGGTCTCAGATATATACAAATATATAAAAAACATGTCTATGACGTGTTTTGCTCAAAATACCAAACAGATCACCCATTCTAGCCATGCCTCATACCCCTCCATTTCACTTCCTGTTTCTAAAGTGCTGATTTTGGATATAAAGCTTTAAAAAAATTGATAACAAATAAAAAAGGAGGGGGCTGAGCTCATGCGGGACCCGGCAGCAACTGTCTAAACTAAATACTGCCGTGATGAAACCAACCCGATATCACGGCAAGACGTGAAAATGTGACGATTTACCATGCTGGGAGACGTGAAGATGTCACGATTTTGTCCCTTCAAACGTGACAGTTACACGGTATTGTTAATGTTAACCCATTTTGTAACCAGTGGAGAAATAAACGGAAATGCCAAGCAAATGGTACCCCAACGGTCGGTTGTTATTGTCAATATTAATATAATAATGATTTATTTTGTAATAGTCACTCGATTACGCCGATTTTCTTGTTGCCCCAGGTGGTCGACACCTCTTTTAGCAGAAACAAAGGCTACATTAATGTATTAAAGCGATGTTAATCCGTGTGTGTGGATGTGGAATTAACGGACGTGACGTTGTGCGATTGAGTTGCCAGCAACAGCTTCGGTTCATGTTAATTTACAAACTCTTCAACTACAACCGTAATTATATTTAAAACATGTTAGAAATACTGCAAATTAAAATGTAAATGTGAAGG